AAAAGTAAATGGAAAAATAAAAATCAAGTTTAAGTCATTTTATTCGACTTTATGTCTGTCCGCCACAAATATTGAAGTCGTAATATCACTAGAAAAGCGTTTAAAGCACATAAAATAATATTAAAATATATACATTTACGAGTATATACTGTATTTACAGTACATTCATTCGTAAATTTAGATTACTTTTTTCTGTACTATATTAAAAACTAAAATTTATTTGTTTGTAAGCTTAAAATAGATCCTTATTAACCATATATTATTAAAAATGCATTAATAAATAAAATACAGAACCGGGAATGGTAATTTATAGTTTAACTAGTGACAAGTAGATTTGGAGACAAGTAAATTCGACTTACGTCGCTTTCCTGGAACCAATTACCGACGTAAGGCGAGGTATACCTGTATTTTAAGTTTAATACATAGTATTATAACGATTTTTTGAAGAATCAAATAGAATAAAATGATATTAGAACGTCATTTCTGATTTTATCAGGAAGTTTCTATTTTGGCGGGAAATCTTCAATTTTATGCTTCGGAAAACTTGCTTATTCATCTAAATAGCATCAAATAACAAAAATAAGTGAAAGTAGCGCTGAAAAACCATGAATAATAACGATTTTTTAGCATTTGTTTACATTCCAGATTCTGATTGGTATAGTCGAATTTGAATCAATCTTTTCTGAAGAGACGCTTATTCGTCAACATAATGTCATTCAAACTAGAAAAAACTAACCAGAGTTCAAAAAGAAATGTACAAAAAGCTATAACAACCAATAATTTACAACAATATCTCTCCATAGACTAAGAATAGAAAAAAATTTTTTCGCATCAAATTTATTATTATTAAGTTGGACCAAGAAAATTAATACTGTAGTTGGAATAGAGTCATTATGACTAAAAGGAAGCCGTTTGCACTAAAATATTTTGGATTTAATAATTATTACAAACCGCGTCAAGCCATAAACTTGTCAACAAAGAGGGTTGTAAAATGATTCCGTGTAGCTAGAAAGCTGCGGTTTCTTTTGTTTGAAAGAAAACAGATATATTTAGGTTATTTAAGTAGTAAATTAATTGGAACTTTTTATTTACTTTTATTTTTACATTCTTTTTTTCGTAAATTTAAAATTAAATTATTATTTTTAATTTTTATTTTATTTGAAATTTAACAGTCGTAAACTGTGATATATTTGTGACAGAAAACAAAAAACAGATTGATTCTAGCGCCAATTTGAAACGAGATATCGCAATTTTAATAATTATATTTAAAATATTCAGATTTTCCACTGCACTGTGTTAATCACTTTTGATTCATTTCTGAACACGGGGGTAAAACTGACGGGCCATAAATATAATTTAGGTAAGAATGGTAACCACATTTATGATGGATTAGTGTCCTGCACCTGGCATGTTGACGATCTGACTCACAAATTCTGAGAAATGGTGGAGACGCCCGGACAGGGGTCGAACGAATTAAGACCTGCCTGGCCACGTGTGCGTAATAGTCTTCTGTCCCCGCCTCTTTAGTCTTTGGTCAGAGTGGATACAGAACAAAGCACGTGGTAGTCTAGCTTGCCTTATCTCAAACATGATTTGTTGCGGGCCTCAGAATTTTCGGCACAATGAGACATTGTTTTGCAGAGTGAACAGTATGGCGCCGGGCATTAAACGCAAGGTCAATCGCGAGAATCATCAGTTTCAAGAAGTGGAAGTGTGGACTAACAAGTACTGTTTTGTGCAACAGAACAACAGCATTATTTGCCTTTTGTGCAATGGAACAATAGCAGTGCCAAAAGAATTCAACCTGAAGCGACATCATGAAAGCCAACACAAGGATTTCCTTCTGCAAGGTACGGAACGCAAACGGAAAATCGAATCGTTACGACGATCACTAATCAGCCAACAAAATGTGTTCAAGAAACAATCTGGAGAATTGGATGCGGCTGTTGAAGCCAGCCTAGAAATATCTGCTTTAATAGCCAAGAATGGGAAACCTTTCACAGATGGCGATATGATAAAAAAGTGTCTTATCATCGCAAGTGAGATGTGTCCTGAGAAGACAGTGTTTTCAAACAATCAGTCTTAACCACATGACGATACAACAAAGAATCTCGCAAATTGCATCAGACATTTCTGGCCAACTTAATATTTTAGTTGCAAACTGTGCTTATTTTTCTTTGGCTGTGGAAGAATCCACTGACATATCATCAACAGCACAAGTGATTGTGTTTATTAGAAGTGTTTCACTAGATTTTATTGTGAATGAAGAATTTCTTGGCATGGCATCACTTTCTGGACATACAACTGGTGCTGACTTATTTACTAGTTTATTGAGCGTTTGCAACAAATCAGCACTGGACTTTGACAAGCTATCCAGCATTGCCACCGATGGAGCACCATCTATGGTTGGATGTGAGAATGGCATGGTCACCTTGCTGAAAAACCACCTTGGGGACAGGCAAAAGGAGTTAGTCCAGTATCATTGCATAATTCACCAACAGCAACTTTGTGCAAAGAAGCTGGGATTTGAACGTCTGCTGAAAGATGTATATGATACTGTGAACTTAATCCGCCGTCATGGACTCAACCATCGACTCTTCACATCATTTCTTGAAGAAATAGATGCTGATTATGCTGACCTGCCCACGTATACTGAAGTTCGTTGGCTGAGCAAGGCAACAGTCCTCAAGAGATTTGTGGAGCTATTGGGGCCTATTATCACTTTCCTCAAAGAACGGGGGAACACTACAAGGAATTTGGAGGGACAAAGATGGCAGTGTGATTTAGCTTTCCTTGCTGACATTACTGCTTATCTAAACGACCTTAATTTGAGATTGCAGGGAAAGATGCAACTTGTTTCTCAGTTGACAAGTAACATCAATGCATTTATGACCAAACTATCACTTTTCAAGTCCCACATGCAATCAGAGAACTTTACACACTTTCCACATTGCAAGGCCATGAAAGAGAAATACCCACATATGAAGATGGATTACTCTGACCAAGTTAACACCCTCCTTACATCATTCAATGAGAGGTTTGGTGAATTCCAGAAATACAAGATCTACCTGCAACTTTTTTCAACTCCATTTGATGTGAAAGTGGAAGATGCCCCTCCAGATGTCCAACTTGAGTTGATAGACATCCAGTGCAGTGATGAATTGAAATCACAGTTCAAAAATTCTAATCTCCTCACATTCTACAAAGAACTGCCAGATACATCATTTCCAAAACTGAAAGACAATGCTCGATTTTGTGCAAGCATGTTTGGCAGTACCTATGTATGCGAACAAGCGTTTTCGCTTATGAATTTAAACAAGTGCAAAACACGGAACAGGTTAACCAACGAGAATTTGGAAAATCTGCTGGTTGTTTCAACATCTGCCATTACACCAGACATCAAGAAGATTGCCGCCAGCATCCAATCTCAGCCATCGCATTAATCGCTTGGAGGTCCGGCCCCCAGTCAGTAAACTTAATCCTAATTTGGCCCTTCTTCACAAAAGGTTGTGCATCCCTGCAATTAGAAATGAATTGTTATTGCTATATTAATCCTCAAATTGCATTACAGTAAATCCATGTTAATTCAGGCTAATACAGGATGAAGGTCAACCAAGTTTATGAAAGTCCAAGTCAGAAGGATGTTTTCTCTGATGAAAAGGAAAATGAGAAGGTGGATATACAATACAGAAATTTATTATGCTAAGTCGTATACAGAGGTTTATAAAGCTTTTGTAGGTTACTATTGAATTTATTAGTACAGCTCAGAGTTTAATGTCAATACTGTATACACTGTAGAGCTACAGTAATATAATGCACAGTATTGCAAAGACTTCTGTATATAAAAAAGAACACTTGTTGATTACAATTTTTTATTGTCAAGAAATTATAAATTACTGTACAAATTTTTGAAAAAATTGTTCAAATTGACATGGTTTCAGTTAGCTGAGGTTTACTGTATTTTATTTATTGAATTGACATTGATGAATTCTGAAAATTTATATTTCATTTATTTGAATAAATATAAAATTTATTTGTTAATAAATTATAAAATTCTCATTTATAATATATTACTCTTATGTTTTGGGTTTAGAATAAATAAGATTAACATTTCTAAAGTATGTATTTGCAAAGCTGTACATTGAAATAATCTTTTATTTCATGGTTCAGTATGCTGTTATTTTATAATGTTTTGAAATTACTAAAATTTGAATAATTTCTCACTTTTTTGTATTTACCAGTTATGCTCATGGCAAATACTATATAAAAAATACATGGTGGTTTGGAATTTGAGATCACGTGTAAATGTGTTTATATGTTGCTATGAAATTACTATAAATGATTATCATATTTACTTTTATTCCTAAGAAGTAAAAGATATCAGAAATGATTACAGAAAATGAAGTTTTCTGGTTATATATATTTTCTATAAAATGAATATAATATAACAATTATATCAAATATATTTCATACTACTTTTTTTTAATAAAATATAATGTTTTATTTATTATGTTTTAAAGTATTAATTTGTCAGATTGATTTTGAAAATAGATATGGAAATTTGGTTTCTAATGGTAGTGAAATTTTTTAAGATAATTATTAGAAGTAATTGAAACAAAATGTTGGAAATTTTTTTTATGATTTCCAATGTAGTTTGCATAGGATTGATTATTCCTGATTTGTGAAGTATAGTAATAACAGTTACAGGAAGTTCTTAATAAATTATTTTATTTAAATCTAAATATATTATGATAGTATGAATTTCTGTATTGGTTTTTCTTTCACAGATATTTAATATAGTTTTGGGTTTTACTTGAAATTTGGATGTGTTATCACGATATTCTATTCGGGCTTTTTTTTAAATAAAACGGGTTTGTTTCAGGCCTGTGCCTTAAGTATTTTAATGAATGGGAAGATGTATGTCTTCCTTTACTCAGCCGGTCTAAATGAAACTCAATATGCCCAATAATATGACCAATTAAAATTTTGTTAACAAACAGAAACAACTGTGGAAGAAAATAAAGGCGAGAAAACTGAAAAGCAGAAAAGTACAAACATCAAAAAAGAATGTGGAGAAACTATAGAAACTCCAGATACAAAATTTGATGAAGAAAAGAAACGTGGAGAAGCTGATGTTGGGGAAGATAATGCTGAGACAGATACCAAATTGGAGACTGATACACTGCAGTCTACAAATTCCAATGTCAACTTGAAGAAAAGCAGTAATACTTCAAAAACTATTGCTAAGGACCTTGGGCGTTCGGACAACAAAATTCAAGAATCTACAGAGAAGGAAATGGATGATAAATCAACTGATCAAGAAAAAATGAATTGCGATTCAAATGAGAAGGCTGGAGAGGAAAATGGAAATGAGGAATCAAAAATAGATGATAAAGGAAACAATAATCAGCAGTTGGCGAATGAAGAGAAGACTTCTGAAAGGGATGATGATGATGATGCAAAGTCTGATCAAGAAACTGCAGAAAAGGATAAGAAAAATAAAGAGGATGAAAGTGCGAAACAAGTTTCTACAGATTCTTCTGTGAAACCAACTGCTACTAGCCGTGCAGCTGTCAACACAACAACCAAGGCAAAGAGGTTTGTTCACCATATGGTAACAAGTACCAGTAAGATTACTTGTATATACATTCAGATCTTTGTGATCCTGGTTCCCACTGATGTGAGGTTTCCAGGCACAGATTAGCTTTTTATCAATGAGGTTTCTGTGTTAGTCATAGGAATTGAAGATCAGGCACATTCACAAAATGGATTTTAGCTGTCGAGATTAACCCTTTGTGTGAATAAATGTTATAAGAACTGCATTTTATTCATGTTTCATTTAAGTAAAATCTAAGAATATTATTTACAAGTAGTGCTTTAATTTTCATTATCTTTTAGTTTATAGAAATTTTTGTTATTCAGTAAATATTCATTATAAACTGAAAGATCTTGAAAAATTAACAGTGAACTTAAATGAGAATAAAAATAACATGAATTTTAGATGCCTTAATCAAAATGCTAAGAAAATTGGTATTCGTGATTTTTTGAAATTCATTATTCTTTCTATGATTAAAATAAATATTTGAAAACAATACAATGCAGTTGGATGAACTTTGTGCCAAAGGGTTAACAAACATAAATGCATTTAATTGTGCATGTGTGTTTTTATAATGGCAAAATTTTTTGATTTGCACTGCAGTCTTACGGCTGAACGTTGAAATGTTATCAACTATTAGTTTTTTAACTGCTTGTTTTTCCAATATTAAACTCAAAATTTTAAATTAAAAGAATTTTAATTAAGTAGTCTGTTTGATGAAAGAATATTTTTGATACCCAAGAGATTTATAAAATTTTTGCACAATGTTAAATAAACTTTTTTTTTCAAAATATGCACTTTTATGATTGTTACTGTGAATGTGATATATGAAACTCAATATTCAGTCAAAGAAAAACGTTTTCACTTTACTTATTTTAAACTATCTTATAAAATAATTTAATATAAAATTTTATTTATATACACAGAATATTGTTTTCAAATGTGCATTTATTCTTACTATTAATTTTAAATATATGATGATAAAATCATAAATTTATGACATCCAAGATTTTTGATATTTATTAAACATTATATCACCAAGTGGAGGAAATGAAAGAAATTGGTGGTTATATTTGTTATAAAGGCATTACAAATTTATTGAATAACTGGAAATATATAATATTTTTGTTTTTAGTGATAATTTTCTTTGATTTTAGAAATGAATTTAGATGACAAATTCTATTAGATTAGCTCAAATATCATTAATACAAAAAATGGTACTTATTCATCTTTTCTTTGAGATTACATAAATATAGCAAAAATATTTTTCTCTATTGTTCAGATAATTGGGCTGCAATTTGAAAAAATTGTAGACCTATAAATTTCCGCTGTCATTGTTCTATCTGTTCTTCCTCAAGAACGGAGTTAGATAGATGAACATCAAGAAACTAAACATTAGCAGTTTTGTTGTAAAAAAAAAACAAGTTATAATAATTTTAAGAACTACAAAAGCAAATATAACATACATTGGCCATATTCTGCTGGATCACTTTATACTGAGTTTCATGATATATTTATATTAATTTTAGATAATTCAACTTGAACTGTTTTTAATACTTTAGTTTTATATCCAAATCTTTCAAATTTTCATGAATGCTGACAGTCTAGTGATAGCCATTAAAATTTAAAAGTTTTTTTTTCCTAAGTTATTTCTTTGAACTTAAATAATTTGTAGTTTGCAACAGTTCAAACAAGTAGCTACACATTCTTATGCTTTACTTCATAGCTTAAAAATAATGTTAATTTAAATTGCTGAGTTAAAGGATTTGGCAGTTAAGTTTATGAATGAATCTATTAGTATTATTATTATTTACTTATGTATGCTTACAATATTAAGTATGTCTATAATAACCAATCAGTCTTATTGCTTTCTTTTAAAAAGTTTAGTCACATCATATTTTGTTTACAGTTTCGTTTAAACTTGAAGAATTGAAATCTAGGTTGAAATCATTAGTAGAGTTTTGTGCTGGATATCTAAAACGTTTTTTGTTTTTTTAAATCCAGTTGGCAATTTTTCATTATTCACAGTTCTGCAAATTAGTTTTATTATGAAGCAGATGGAAAACATTAAATTTCATATTGTTGGGTAAAGGTGAAATGAACTATAAATAGGTAAAGCAAGTGTTCAATACCAATATTTTCTGTTGCTTGCAATAATTCACATGATTTTTAAAATGAAAATTGCACTATTGGTAGTGATCTTTTTTCACTTTGATTTGATTATAATAGTTGCAGTGTCCATACAGACTGGAAAGATCAGAGAATAAGATTTTTAGCAGGAAAAGTCAGGGAATCTGCAAATAGTTTGAATACATCTGTTGCTCTCTCTCTCTCTCTTTTTGATCTGAACATGTCTTTAAATTCAGTTCAGTATAGGGAGGTCTACAAAACTGGAGCAATCAAATGAATGGCAAGATTTTTCACACACACATCTTTTAAACTATAAATGATAATCTAACGGTTTAAATTTTATTGTATATAAGGTTTATGTCTGTATTTAAAATGATGGGTAGTGGAGGCATGCAGCTGTGTGGAGGAGGGGTAGTGGTTGCACATGAACACTGAAAATGGCAATGCAGTGTGGCATTTGGGCAGTGAAACTTTTAATTGTGAAGAGATAGGACATTGAGATTGGTGTTTATTTCTACAGAATGGCAGGATCTACAATATTATTTAGCAATAATAACTGATAAAATAGAATTTGTAAAGTTATAAACTGATAACTGTGTGAGTTGAAGAAAATTTTCTTAATGTCAAAGAAATTACAAAGAAAATATGAACAGAAATGAATGAAACATATATAATTGGAAAGAAAAATTGAAAAGGAATCAGAAAATCCCAAAATGACTAATCCAAATGATGTGCTCAGTTTTCTTACACACACTATGATCTACATCAACTTTCATGTGAATATTTTGAATGCACTGCTGCCTGGACCAATAGATATTGACCTTTTTTTGCAATGAGAGTGTTTTTCTTATTTAAATAAAATTTACAAATTAACTTAAATTAAATGTGAAATTTTTAATATGACATAGCTAATTATGTAATCAATTTTACACAAGGTTTTTTGTTTTTTGTAAATGAATAAAGTGCTTTTTAATTTAAAAAAAAAATTGTATAATTGTGTACAAAATGGGCTTAAATAGACTTGGCTGAATATTTTAATAAATAGACATAGACCATAATAAGACAGGAAATAATGTCATAATTGTTAAGGGAATCACAGATGGAATTACCTGGACAGTTCCTGTAGTCAATAAAATATGGTGTTTTCAATATGATTTAAAAACAAGAAACATAATATGAAACATTGGTCAAATGGCTCTTCAAAAAAATATTTCACATTCAAAAGTCTAAATCAATGTGATGTCACACTTTGAAAACAAAGAAAACATTTACAAGAAATTTATTTCTTGAAATCTAGCAATGAATAAAAACCGTTATATACAAATTTTGGATTAATTGGTCAAAAGAATGCCATATAAGATCTTAAGACATTCAAATTCAGGAAAAAAAGGAAAAAATAGATATATCAAGTAGTAATGTTTAACTATTCTATAATAATAATCTAGAAGTTTTAGTAAAATGATTATAGAAGTAAATTGTTTCTTGGATTCATTTTATCTCCCATAAACTAATTATTTTTATCTGAAATTAAACTAATTCTCAAAACAAAATAATTTAATATAGAGAACATTAAACACAATGTGATGAAAAAATCAATGATAAATTTAAATGACTTCAAAATATAATTTTGGCATCCCTGTGACTGAGTGCGAAAGTATTTAGCATCTCAAAGAAATTAGAGTAATAATAAAAGCTTATTTCATTTAAACACAATTTTTCAACTTTATGTAACTCTAGAACATAGCAATAATACAACTTAGAATCCTTAGAATTTTAGAATAATTTATATAAGAACATAAAGTTTGACATTTAAAACAAGCATTAAAATTTGAATTTTTTACATTTAATAAATTTTAAAACAAAATTGTGACTGAATAAATACATTTGGATGTATTGTGTAAAAATCTTTTTGCATTTGTTCATTAAATTGTTTGAACTGGGACAATTTTAAGGATACAGATTGTTTTTGAATTTACAGTTTTTGTGCATTTAAATCCAAATTTAAGTTAACAGCTGTAATATTTACCAAAAGAAATTGTTAGTTATTGTTTTGTATAAAATTATTATATCCTTAATTTTACTTAAAACTCGAGATTTTTATCAGTTAAGTTCTAGAATAAAAGTATTGGATTGTATAATTAGAAATGCCTACACTATAAAAATCATTAAATCAATTAAATTAAATATAGTTTACTTTATTTTTTTATTATAATAATAATAATAATCATAAATGTTTTAAGAAGTAAAAAGTATTGTGAAAACTTCTCTGACTGAATATATAGCAGTTTTATTAACTTGTTTGATTTCACAAAATATTTTAATTTTAACAAAAGTTACATACAGAGTAGTTACAAAAGTTTTGCTCTTTTCATTTCTTTAGCATTGTTTTAAAATGAAGCCAAAAAATAAAAAATTGTTAGTTTTTTTTAAGTTGCAAACTTTATCTCTGAAAATACTTCTATAATGTAAAAAATAAATTGTTTCATTTTATATAGTATATAATAGTATATTAATTTTGATATTTTGTTGTTTTAATTATTATTTTATTTCAAATTTCAACTCTTGCCAATTAAGAAAAAAGAAGAAAATCCATAATTTGTAAACAGTAAAAAAGATTTAAACATTTTAAATGTATCCTTAAATTGAAAATTAATAGTTTTAGAATAATCAGTTTTGTGTTTTATATTAATGAAGAGGTATTATCAAATTTCTATTATCAAACAGACTATGGTTTTAATATAATATAGACTCTCTCTCTTTTTGATCTGAACATGTCTTTAAATTCAGTTCAGTATAGGGGGTGGATGAAAATGAGTTATCAAAAGAATGGCAAGATTTTTCACACACACATCTTTTAAACTATAAATGATAATCTAACGGTTTAAATTTTATTGTATATAAGGTTTATGTCTGTATTTANGGATTCATTTTATCTCCCATAAACTAATTATTTTTATCTGAAATTAAACTAATTCTCAAAACAAAATAATTTAATATAGAGAACATTAAACACAATGTGATGAAAAAATCAATGATAAATTTAAATGACTTCAAAATATAATTTTGGCATCCCTGTGACTGAGTGCGAAAGTATTTAGCATCTCAAAGAAATTAGAGTAATAATAAAAGCTTATTTCATTTAAACACAATTTTTCAACTTTATGTAACTCTAGAACATAGCAATAATACAACTTAGAATCCTTAGAATTTTAGAATAATTTATATAAGAACATAAAGTTTGACATTTAAAACAAGCATTAAAATTTGAATTTTTTACATTTAATAAATTTTAAAACAAAATTGTGACTGAATAAATACATTTGGATGTATTGTGTAAAAATCTTTTTGCATTTGTTCATTAAATTGTTTGAACTGGGACAATTTTAAGGATACAGATTGTTTTTGAATTTACAGTTTTTGTGCATTTAAATCCAAATTTAAGTTAACAGCTGTAATATTTACCAAAAGAAATTGTTAGTTATTGTTTTGTATAAAATTATTATATCCTTAATTTTACTTAAAACTCGAGATTTTTATCAGTTAAGTTCTAGAATAAAAGTATTGGATTGTATAATTAGAAATGCCTACACTATAAAAATCATTAAATCAATTAAATTAAATATAGTTTACTTTATTTTTTTATTATAATAATAATAATAATCATAAATGTTTTAAGAAGTAAAAAGTATTGTGAAAACTTCTCTGACTGAATATATAGCAGTTTTATTAACTTGTTTGATTTCACAAAATATTTTAATTTTAACAAAAGTTACATACAGAGTAGTTACAAAAGTTTTGCTCTTTTCATTTCTTTAGCATTGTTTTAAAATGAAGCCAAAAAATAAAAAATTGTTAGTTTTTTTTAAGTTGCAAACTTTATCTCTGAAAATACTTCTATAATGTAAAAAATAAATTGTTTCATTTTATATAGTATATAATAGTATATTAATTTTGATATTTTGTTGTTTTAATTATTATTTTATTTCAAATTTCAACTCTTGCCAATTAAGAAAAAAGAAGAAAATCCATAATTTGTAAACAGTAAAAAAGATTTAAACATTTTAAATGTATCCTTAAATTGAAAATTAATAGTTTTAGAATAATCAGTTTTGTGTTTTATATTAATGAAGAGGTATTATCAAATTTCTATTATCAAACAGACTATGGTTTTAATATAATATAGAATTACATTAGTAAAATACTGTAAAGAACATTAAGCTGTCAGTATTATTAAATGATTATTTTTTCAGTTATATTTAAAATAAGAATTTTAATTAATTTGTATTTTTAATTGGACTGCAATATCAATCTATGCAATCCAGTTACTAATATAGAAATAAAAAGAAGTAAATCTAAACTATACATTTATAAGTTTTTTATTATCATTATAAATTTATGTATAATATATAGTTTGAAAAATTGTCACCTCAAAAATGTAATTAGAAAAGAAATACAAAGGTTACTATTAAATTTTCTTGATTCTCAGAAATAAATATAATTTATCTATTCTGCTTATATCTTTTCAGTCTCCATTATCAATATAGAGATTTATCTACTGAAACAAGTCATGAAAGCATTGATATCATGTCTTTTCGAAAATTTTGTTATGCTCTTTATAGTGATGTTATGCAGTCTCTTAAGACTCCCAAAAATAGTATTAATGCAGTTTTTCCATGACGTTTGAGAATAACAAAAAAAACCAAATGGGAGGTAGATTTAGGTTATATAATGAATGACTAAATGGTTTTACACCAGAATCCTGCAGGAAACCATCGTTTGTATCACAGTGCAAGTGAATACATTATCCTGGAGCAACAAGATTCCTTGGAGTCCACATTTTGATCGTCTCTCCATAAGGGTACCTGAAAGAATTTGGGCAGTCATCTGATGGTATGTCAATGTGAAATGACTGTTTTCCCAGTGCAACTGTTGTCTATCTGCAGAGAAAAAAGAGGCCACCATTTTTTGATCCACACTCCTGGATCACTTGATCTTGACAGGAGGATCTTCATCTGGAAGTATCAAGACTGCTGGCTAGCATTTTGTTCTAGGATTGTACTGATAGATTCAATTTTTATCTTCAGTCACAATGTTGTGAATATACCAAGAATTTCCATTGTTGAAATACTATATCATTTCTTCACACTGTTCCTCTGTGCTGTCATCAGTGTTTCTGTGAGATGGCAGACTATCCAGAAAGAAGTTTCTGAATATACTGAATTTCACAAACCTGTATGCATGAATGCTTACAACTCAATTTATTTGTGAATCATTTGCAAATTGTTTCTTGCTAATTTAACCAAATTGACAATGTTTTCTTTGATGAAAGCTATTGCCAGGTAGTCTGGACACACTTTATCTTTCAGGGATGTTCTGATATGCATAAATTTGAAATGTAACAAATAACTTGTAGAGTGTTGTACAAGAGATGATTTAGGGAAAACTTTATGCAATTGTTCTAGGCATTCCTATTGAATAAAAGTATATTTAGTCATAAAAGTCATGGCGTGAAAAATATTTGTTTTATGCCATTTTTCTACCTGCTCAACATAGAGAGAATCTTGATGTTGAATGATTGATTGTCCATGTGTGAACTCTGAATGTCATTTAGCATTGTCTAAAGAGAAAATGATCCCATTTCTTAGTATTTTTTCAAATCTGGAAAATTTAATAGTCACCTATATATTATTAGAAATACAACAGGGAAAATGTTTTCTTTGAAATGGTTTAGTAAAATATTAATAAATTAGGTTTCTTTAAATTAATTTTCATTTGTCCTTTATACATTTAAATTGAATGAATAATTTATATTAGTTAAATCATGTAAATAGGCTCCTTTATTCATTATTATTCATGTGAGATATTTTCTAATTGAAAATAAAGTACACATATCATAATAAGTTTTAATTTTATTCATTTAATTTATTTGGAAATTTTCAGATAATGGTATCTGAAAGTTCAAAATTGCACATTTTTGAATCCTTTTAAATTAATCTTAGCACACTTAAAGTTTAACCCATGTAATTTTATATTAAATTAAAACACACATTTGTAAATATGTGTCATCAGTTAGTTCTAATATTGATATTAAATAAGATTAACCATACAATATATTATAAACATAATTTTAAAAAATTACCCAATTAATTGCTACTTATTCATTTTAAACAAATGACCTATATAAAACTTAAAAAACTTTAAACTGAAAACCATTGTCTTGACAGCCCCTTTAATAAACAAAACCACTGCTGTTTTAAGTTATTTGGTATTACCAACTTATTTCTAGCATTATGTTTGCTGTATAGAAAGATGATTAAATTATTGTAAACTTTTGACTAAACAATTGACTAAAATTAATTTTCAATAGAAGCAGTTGTTATTAGTAACAAATGATGAATCTCATGTTTGTATAATGGGATTTTCTACACACACACACTTTTCTGGAAATGATTATTATTATACAAACAGTTATATATAGATTTTAAATATATAACTTATATGTATACTAGAAATATCTACAATATTTTGAACTCTATTTTGCTTATAGAAACTTCCAATATTGGATATTTTCTTAGTTTTAAAGTTTAAATTTACTTACTTGATAACACCAATGAAACAAAAATTATTATTTTTTTAAAGCAAAATTTGATTAATAAAGATTTTATAAAATATAAAAAAAAACTTATAAATGAGAATTTGTAGAGTTTTAATAAAATTATTTGTAATTTCTTAATGCAATGATTCTTTACAGTATTAATAATTCACAGTTAAAATTTAATTATATGATTAATTAAACCACTTATTATAGTAATTTTTTGTTAGCATTACTGCTAAAGATGCCAAAACAGCTGGAAAGGATGAGAAAGGTAATTTTTAATTATTATGTAAATTAAGAATAAAAATTTAGTGTATTAATATTTAAACTGCTACAATAACTAATTCAAAATTACTAAAATCAATTCTTAAATGCTTTATTTAGAGAAAAGTTATAGAATAGATATAATAAAAAAAATACAAACTCAAGTGGCAATGAGTTTACACCTTAATCTTAAATTTTTTTTTCAAATAAATATTTGTGAATTAATTTAAATTGGTTAGAATACTTTAAAATATATCTATAGTTTCTACTTCACAAGTAATAAAAAAACAATAAAATTATCAATGCATTGTAGTCTTATTTGCTTTAATAAAATTTTATTATTATATAGATTATATTACTGTATGAATACTTTTAAGATTGGAAGAGAACAGACCTATTTTTCAAACCTATTTGTATTGATACTACATATATAAAGCAGTGAATTTATTATTATTATTAGTATTTACTATTATACAGTTAAATTTGTCTGTAATGGAATCCCAAAGTACTGAACAACTCTTCTATAGTAAGCAGGTTTCTGCTATATACAAGTTACCCTTGATTAATGCACTTAATAAAATTTTTGACGTTACTGCATCAATATATCAAAGTCATGTTGATCAAATACAGTGGTACCTTGATGATTAATTAATATAATTTGGTTTTGTTAGTAGTAGTAGTAAGAGTTATTGGGCTGCAGTTTTCAAATTACAGACTTATAAATTCCAACTGGCATCATCCATCTGTCTGTCCTTCCTTAATCTCAAGAACAGAATTAGATAGGTGAAAGTCGAGACCAGATATGAAAAGCTTGGGATCAGTAGGCTATAAAGTGTTAACTATATATATGAACTTTGGTTTGGACTGAAAGTCATGTAATTTCAATGAAAAAATTTTCTACAGAACAGAGTTAGATGACCATTGTTATCAGGAAAAGTATGATGTACAGGGACAAGACATTACTAAAATTGAGACATGTTTGATCACATCACAATGCCAAGCTACAATTACAAAAATTGTAGCTTGGCAATGTGATGATGTCCTAATAATTTTGTTGATTTTTGTTTTATAGAATTAATATGTCATTTTATTACTTACTTTAATATATTTTTAATAAATTTTAGCAGGAGGAGAAAAGGTCAAGAGAGCACTAGCTAGTACACATAATCTCTGGGTTAGTGGTTTATCTGCATCTACAAGAGCTACTGATTTGAAGAATTTATTCAATAAACATGGCAAGGTTAGATCTAAAAATTTGTTAATTATACTTAAAATTCTTAATAACCTTAAATTTTCACTTTTCTCTAAGAATCTTACTTTAGAAACTTTCTAAAGAATATTACATTAACAGTGTAATATTGTGGAATAGGTTGTTTTAGACATTCTTATAATCCAAACTATGTGCATTATTATAGAATTATAAGTCAAAACTTTTATATTAAATGCTATTTTAAGTTTACAGAAAAATTTATACACATTTATTTATTCTTTATTTGAGATTTGTAAATAAGTATATATGGTGATATGATAAATATAAGCTAAACAAAATTATGATATTTATCATTAAATTCATTTATTCAATTTATTCCAATTAGAAATTTTTTTAATATAATACTAGGAGCACTTTTGTTAAGAACTACAAGGGTGATTCAAAAAAGGATTTTACAATTTTGAAAGCTCATAAAATTTAAATTAAAGGACATAGAATTGATTGAGATGTAAAACTTTGATGTTTTTTGCTATGAATTACCTTGAACAATTATTTTGATTTGATGTGAGTGCCATTGGTGATGCAACAGACATCTCACCTAAATTTACTACCTTACCATATTCAAAGTAAAATATCTATTGTGACTGATAACTGTGATAGTGATTTGGATTTTGGGGTTAGTGGGATTTGCAAAGAAGGGTGGAATAACAGTAGATCTTTATTGAAACCTCAGAAGAAAAATTTGAGTGTATCAAATCTGGGGAACAAGGTGGTCATAGTATTTTTCCTGCTTGATCAATCCACTAACCAGGACTGAGATTTTTCTCAATAAATATCTGTTTGATAGAATATATATATATGAATTTTTGTATTTAGTTATATATTAGTATGACAAAAAGTGAAAAATAAAATTACATGAACAATATTTTCTTTTTAACTCATATTTAAGAATTTAAAAATATTACAGGTTTTTTAGCAAAATTCTAAATGATTGTTTTAAGATAGTGCAGCATAGAGTAAAGAAAACTAGATCAGCTTTAATAATAAACATGTGACTATGTACCAAGGTTTAATGTGTTAATGACTGGTGGATTTTTTTTCTTCTTTCTTTCTTTTATACTTAGTTGTAGGGTTCACAACAATTCCAATTCAAATGAATATTTGGAATGATTTTGGGAGGGACAAAGATGAATCAGTCAATTCTCTTGGGACCAGTGCCCTTTAGAATCTGGTGCAATCCGTCAGCTCTTTCCATGCTGCCAATCCTGTGCAGCATGATAGAGGTCTTGGAGGCCTTTTCCACACTAGTCTCTCTGATGCAATAAATCCACATTTTGTGAGGTCTGCCATCCATGATAAAGATGGCCTGAAGTGTATTGTTATTTACCTTATTCTCATATGCCAATGACTACAAATGAGTGATTATATAGTGATTCTCCCCAGCTAGTTTTAACTGGTCAATTGATCAACTAAATATTTCCTATAACCAATTTAAAAATAATTAATTTTTTATGATAACTGAATTACAGATTTATATGCTATTATTATTGTTTTACTGCTGTTAACTGACATTAAGGAAATTTTTAGGAGCATGGCAGTTTTTCTTGGGAGAACAGAGTTTATGTACTTCCTTCCTCTTTAACTCTTTAAACATGAGATTGGCCAAAAGGAAATTTGTATAGTGAAACCAGTCAACTTTTTCTTTGTCTTGAATGGATTGAGCCAATTTTGGCTAATCTCAATCTTTAAAGAGTTAATACCAGTTGTGGAATACAGTTATTTATATGTTATATTTTAATTAGAAGACAAAATTATGATGAAATTATAAAAATTTGATAACTATATCTTTATTATGAGAAGTATTTTTGTTAAAATACTAAGAACTATTTCTTAAAATTTTGAAGTAGTATGTAATATATTATTTATTGTTAAACAAATAAATATTCAGAACAAGTTCAGAATTTAATTATATAATATAATAAAACATTTTTCAAGACTAAATTCATCTCATCACTTCATAAAACAATATTTTGTGATCTAGTGAAAAAATGAATTTAGTTCAAAAAACATTTTATTGTACTAAATATTTAGACTCCTTGAATATTTTATTTAATTTTGCTTAAGGCTTTTGTGAGAAGAAAGATTATTATTCATTGTAATTTTTTCAGGTCATTGGAGCAAAAATTGTCACAAATACTCGTGCTCTGGGAACACGATGTTATGGATTTGTTACAATGTNAGTTTTTGATGCAATGTGACAGTTTGACTATAATAGTTATCACTTCATAAAACAATATTTTGTGATCTAGTGAAAAAATGAATTTAGTTCAAAAAACATTTTATTGTACTAAATATTTAGACTCCTTGAATATTTTATTTAATTTTGCTTAAGGCTTTTGTGAGAAGAAAGATTATTATTCATTGTAATTTTTTCAGGTCATTGGAGCAAAAATTGTCACAAATACTCGTGCTCTGGGAACACGATGTTATGGATTTGTTACAATGTCAAATAGTGAAGAAGCGGCAAAATGTATACAGCATTTACATCGTACAGAATTGCATGGAAAAATGATATCTGTAGAAAGAGTATGTATGACCTTTTATTTTACAATATAATGTTTTCAAATAATTTAATGATTACTTTTAAAATGTTTTAACTATATGATATTTATTTATTTTTATTTAAGACTAAACATGAACCAAGTAGTGCAGTTAGAAAAGCAGAAGCAAAAATTGCAGGACCCAAAAAAGCTCCCCAGAAACCAGTTCCTCCTAAGACTGAGTTAAAAAAGGCCAAAAAAACACCCGAGAAAAGTATGTATAAAAATATTTCTTTTAAAAATAATTTATCTTAATAATTATAATTTCTATGTACTAATAGACTAAGATATAAATTGTAAAAAAATTATATCTTGGTCTAATAATACTTAAAAATTGTTTATGTAAATATGCATTTTAATAATATTTTTAAAATTACCTTATATACATTTAAGATGAAATGGATCTTAGCAAGAATGAAAATAATTTAAAAAAATAAAAATAATTCTTATATATAAAACTGATGGCAATCAGTCCAAGACAAAATCATTGTGATTTTATGCCAGGTAGTGATGAATATTGTGCCCAAACATTAATGCCCAAGGGCACTATGATTAATGCAGTATCATGTTGTAAAAATTTGAATAAACTGAGAAAGACAATGGTTGTGTTCAGCAGAGTTACAGTTGTAACTGAGCAAAGGTGATTCAATTAGTAGCTGTTACGTAATTACATCTGCTGAATGATGAGTGGCATATGCGTTGGAACAAGAAGCAGTCATTATTGGTCAGTTTCAGCTAGTGGTAGGTAGTGTAATAAAAAAAGCTACTGAATGTGACATCAAGATATCAAACACGTTCCTAAACAGTGCTACTGTGGAGGTAGTTCAGCAGAGAAATACTCAACAGCTCTGGAACTGTTGACTCTTCTGAATGCAGCCAATTAAAGATTGCTAACCTGAAAAACTAGCAAAATGTTGTATTTTTGCATAATGGTAGTATGTGTCAGAAAGGCCCTAATGGAAAATTCAAGTGAGTGGTATAGAAACATCTCCCCTACAGTTCAGATCTTTTGTACAGTACCTTATGATTTTCATGTGGGTGGCTTCATGGAAAAGGATTTTGCCAATATCACTAGTGAAGTCACAAATGTGGCATGAGAGTGTTTATCATATATTGGGTGGCAGTTTTTCAAATATGGAAGAGAAAAACTCATGCCATACTCAAGTTGAGTATGCAGAAAATTAACTCTTAAACTATACATTCAAGTTAGGTGTACTCACATAAGAAAATAAATGTATTAAACACATGTGGCAAATACTAATATAAAATATTTATTTATATTAGTATTTGCCACATGTGTTTAATACATTTATTTTCTTATGTGAGTACACCTAACTTTTTGACTCTCCCTCATACTTTTGATGTTTCCTCATTTGTTAATGTTCACTGGTATAATTTCAAGAACTTCAATTAAGAAAGTTAATAATGATCATCATAATTATAGTTTGCTTCTGGACTCTGAATTAGAAGTTTGTCTAAGTTCCTCAAAAAAAATTTTAAATTTGAAATAATTGCTAAATTAAGGTCATGTCTTATGAAATAGGAAATTAATTAATTTATTTATATTTAATGAATTTAAATTGTTAACCACTTACAGAAGTAGAAAAAGAAGTGCAGACTAAAGAAAAAAAAGATGATGTGAAAGAAAAAAAGGAGGAAATTAAAAAAGAAATTAAAAAAGATTCTAAAGAAAAGAAAGAAGATTTAAAAGAAAAGAAAGAGAATGAGAATGTATCAAAAGAAACTGAAAAGAAAGGTAAAGTAACTTCATAATTTCTTACTAATAAAATTTCTGCAAAATTTTGCATAGTGATCCTTTAACTAATTTGATATGAAAAACAATAAAAAAGCAAAAGAAAATTATTATTAAATAAAAACAAAAAAAAATTTTAAATTCAAAACTGAATTCATATAGAAAAGAACTTTAATTATTCAATTATGAACAACAAAATACTTCAGCCTAACTAGATACTGTAATTCTTCAATGTTTTTTCAATTTATCACTCTGTAGCAACCAATCTGTTGCTATGAGAAATTTAATATACTGCATTCTTTGATTATATCCGAATTACTTATTCTGGACAATTTTTATTAATTTATATTTATATCTAGACATGATCGTAATAAAATAAATTTGAATTTTGCCAAAGACATTGTAATTTGACCAATCTCTAACCAATGAGAGAGGTCGGTCAAATTACTATCCTGATTGTAAAAGACAATCTATAAATTTCTGATTACAAACAAATCCAATGTCAATCAGTGAAACTTGAGGTAATTTACTGCAAGTTGAAATTTGATGTGTTTATTTTTTTTCATTTTTAGATCAAATTACATTTAAATGAATATCAAAACTGCATTTTTTTTTTAATACACAAATATTTTATATTGCTGTATAGTAGATAAAATGCAGAAATTGAAGATATAATTGTAGTTTTTGATGCAATGTGACAGTTTGACTATAATAGTTCAGTTGTGTAGCATCTTTGAAATGCCATGCAAGCAATACTGTTTGTTGTCATAATGTGAGTGACATGCATTAATTAACTGTCCCATGCTCGCACACATTGCATCATATTGTAGCAAAAATTATATTTTCTCAGTTTAAGTTACTAGTCACATTCTTATAGACAAAATGTGATTTTTAAATTAATCTTATTTGAATATTTATATCAATAAATACAAACCATTAATAAATGATTTATTGATATAAATTGTAGATGGTGTGTTGTGGCACATAATCTCTAAGCAGCAGTTTTTGAGCTGAAAACTTTCTTATGTGTTATACCTCAATAACTAACTTATTACAGTCCATAAAATGAAGAGATTTGGGGGTGAATTATCATATCAAACACTATTTTTATACCGAAATTCATCAATATTGATGGGGAACATCGGTGTAGTAATCTTTGTTAGTTGAGCATTGTGTGTGTATACTGTACATATGTAAATTTCTCTTTTATATCTAATTATATAAATATCTAAAGTAAATGTGTCTGGAAGCAAAGGAACAGACAGAGGTCTGGCTTGCATAACTTGTTGGTTCACTTACTGAAGTTGTCTTTTGCACTGTTGTTTTGTTAAGACAAACAAAGATTTTTCCAAAAATTTGAAATTTTTGCCTGAACTTTACTATTATTTAAATTGTTTTGCATATTTTGATAATAGCAGATAGAAAAAATAAAATTATACAAATTTATAAGGCAAATCAGTTACGCTTTACTTCAAGAAGATTGCTTTAAAGATAAAAGGACAATTTATATTTATGCCATTGTATTTTATTTTCTATAAATAATCACTTTTAAAGGATATGAAAGAATAAATTTCAAAAATTTATTGTGTTGTTTTTAGAATATTTATTCAAATTATAATAGGTTTTATACTTTTGTTATTTAAAATGAAATTTCTGTGAAGTTAAAAACAAATTTTTAACTTATGGGGAGACCTTATAAGGTGTCTGTCATGGATCCACATAATATTGTGTATGGATAAATCTCAATATAAAGCTTTATTAAGCAAAGGGAGAAAGTGCACTTCTCAAGCATTTTCGTTTTTGAGAAAATTGACATTAAGATATTTTTAATAACTTATAAACAAGTTATGTTAGCTTTGTTTATTGAAAACTTTGTGGCTTGGTGTTATCATTTTTTTCTTTCACATTTGTGAGGTTGTTAGATCAAATTTTGGTGACAGAATTTTTATTCCCTCCAAATAGGCATGAAATTTTTATGAAAAAGAAATTTTATGAATGTTAATGAAGTATGCTTTGGTGTTGAGGTTATAAAAAGAACCTTATAAATGTAAAAAACAGCATTTATTTGATGTGTCAGATGTCATATATTTTTATAGTTTTTGATGTTTTTATGACAAATATCATCCTGTTTCATGTTACATCTATTTCCAATATTATTAAAACATTCTTTTGTTTATTTGTGTTTTTTATGTTTTTAAGTTTTAGAAATAAAGATCTTTAAATATATTTGTAGTAGACAACAGTTCCAGGGAAAAAAGAATTTTTAAGGCAAGAGGTTTAAAAAAGAAAAATACACATTTTTATTAATAGATAAATAGACTAAATGTATAAACTCTTGTGATTTTTAATTATTTAATTTATGTAAAGATTCTACACTTATTTGGAGGGAGAAATTTTACCATTGTGATTCAATCCACACTTTGCAAACATGAAAGAAATGATAGCACCAAGCCATGAAACATTGGGTAAATGGAGCTTGTAAAATTTGCTTATAAATCATTGAGGATTTCTTAATGTAGATTTTCTTGAAAGCACATGAGAAGTGCACTTATTATAATTTTTTTAAATAATCTTTTTATTTAGAAAAAAAGGCTGAATCAGAAAAAGAAACTGAATCTAAAGAGAAAGAGAAAGTTGAAGTTAAGGGAAGAGAGAAATCAAGAGATAGAGTAAGGGGCAGATCACGGAGTCGTGGACGTAGATCAAGTAGATCGAGAGTTAGTTCAAGAAGCCAATCTATTGGTCTTCGTCATAGAAGACATGGGAGTTTTGGAGAAAGAAGATCTATAGGACGCAGTTATTCAAAACCAAGCTTTCTTACATTTCAAAAAATAAAGGTAAATATTTTCTTTAATAGCTACATCAATATAAACTGTTTGGCAGTTTTCAAAATGATTCATATTATTATACTAAAATTATTTTTGATTCAATTAGTCCTGCCTCTGCTAATAAGGTATGCTAGGGTAAATAATATAATTATTGCCATCAGTTGCCTACATCATTTACATATCTTGGTGGGCGTTTACTTTTTATGTTTCCAGCTGACAGCTACTCTAGTTCTGATAATTCCATAATAATTATTTTATCAGGAAATAAAGAGGATTTATGATACCTTTTTTTGGCTTGTCTCAAAGTTAGTTTGGTTTCATATAGCTTATGGTATCCAAAGAGATAGAAGATGGTCAGCTTTGCATTTTTTCTGGCAGGGACTAAACTAAACAAAATCTCCAAAATAAATGTAACTAAATAAAACTAAGAGCAAAATGAATTCTGGTTTTTCTCACAGAACACACAATCAAAACTAATTTGAAATAAAACAAGTTTTCTTAATTTTTGCATTTATTATTTTGTCCATATTTATATTTAAGTTATTTTAATTATTTTTGTTTTAAGTACATGTTGATTTGTTACACATTTACATTGCAAGTCTTTAGATTTTTTTAAAATTATTTTTTTATGCAGTAAAGTAAATAATATTGAATATAATTGTAATTAAGATGTAGTTAAGCATAAATTTGATATTTAAATGAAGATAACTAATACAGTTATACCTTGGGTTATGAATGGAACTATTTACAAACAAAATTTTGAACACCATATTTGCTCTGGTTGCTGTACAATAACTCAGTTTCCAAACAAGCTATTTGGCAAAGCCAGCCACCAATGGTCAACTTCCTATACTTTCTATGTCCAAGAAAGTTGATAGCTGTACCAATTAACAACAGGAGTACCGATTTAGTAGTGGCGCCAAGATTCTAGATTGCCTTTCATCATTAGACATTATAACACAAATCATTGATAATGTTGTTATTCAAATTAGATTTTAATGTGTATGCAGGTAAGATATTACTATTGATTTTTGGTACACATCACACATTAAAACAAATTAATTAATACAAACCGCATTAATTGACATTAATGCGGTTTTTATTAATGTAAATGGCATCCAGTAATTCGTACTTAAAGGTGCTAAACTGAAATTAAATAACAAAAATTTGTTATTAAATATATTTTTTAAAATTATTTCTCTTTAGTAAATAATTGATGTTCAGCATTATATTTAACAGTATTAATTAAATGCAAGAACTTTTAATGAGCATCTTTTAGAAAAACATGGATATCTGTAAACCAGAAAAAAAATTACTTATCGTACAAAAATATTAATAGCTGTTCTGAATTTTCTGGAAAAGTGAACAATAGCAAATTATTGCTTTCATAAATTATACTTAACTCTATTTATTTTTTATTTTTAAATTAAATTATAAACCACAGTACTAGAAACAAAGGAAATCTTACACTATGGTAAATTGAAATTAATGATGTCTCTCATGTTAAACAGAAAATGTAAATTGTTTGATTATTTTCATGTCATGCTTTAGCAGATGGTGCACTGCATATCTTTAGTCACATGATTTTCTCGAAGTTGTCCATCAGTCTGTCTCTAATCTGTGGATCCAGCAGCATAGCATCACTTTGCAGCAAACTGTTCTTTGACTTTGATGATTTTTATTACATTTTGCATTATTTCTTATGTTCTTTTTTTATTATTATTATTAATTTCATAAGCCACTTTGGGACTTAAGAAAGCTATTGTAAGCATAAAGCCAAACAGGAAAAGAGTGAAAATAACAAGAAGTGAAGAAAAGACATCATGCAGAAGCATGAAAATGTCATTTGTGTTTCAGATCTGGCTTTGCAGTTTGACTTAGGAAAGTCATCAATCTGTACCATTCTCAAGAACTATAAAGGATACTACTGTTGCCAAAGGAATGGCTATGATCACCAAGCAAAGATCACAGACTTAAAAGAAATGGAAAAGTTGCTCTTGATTTGGATAAAAAGCAGTTGGCTGGTGACAATATTTCGGAGACTATCATTTGTGAGAAAACAAGAAAGACTTTTGCACTAAAATTTGTTCAAGAAAATCCCAGGTTCACATTCTGAGACTGATGTGTTTAATGGTAGTCAAGGATGGTTTAAAAAGTTTAAGAAGCAAAGTGGTGTACATAGCGTGGTTTGGCATGGAGAGGCTTCAAGTGTGAACAAAAAGATGCCAAAAAGTTTGTGAAAGAATTTTGTGCATACGTGACTGCTTAGGGTTTTATCCCCCAGGAAGTGTTTAAATGTGATGAAACTGGATTGTTTCAGTATAAAATACCAAACTGAACATACAATCCAAGAGGAAAAAGTTTTGTCTGGACACAAGCCAATGAAGGACAAGCTAATTCTTTTGCTTTGTGGCAATTTTAAGGTGAAACCTTTGCTTGTGTATCATTTGGAGAACCCCATGTATTTAAGAGAAATGATGTTATGAAAAGCAAGTTGTTATGTCATTTGGAGAGCTAATGGTAAAGCTTGGGTGACCAGACAGTTTTTCCAGAAATGGGTTTATGAAGTTTTTGCTCCTAGTGTAAGAAAATATCTTAATGAAAATTACTTGCCACCGAAGTGCCTGCTTTTGATGGACAATGCTCCTGCCAACCCCTGGTCATGGAGGCAGAGTTACTGGAAGAGTTCACCTTCATCACCATGAAGTTTCTGCCTCCTGATATAACTCCACTGATTCAGCCAATGAATCAACACATCATATCTAACTTTAAAAATTATTATGCCCAAGCACATTTTCAAAGGTGCTTCGAGGTTACCTCTGACATGGAGTAAACTCTTCACGACTTTTGGAAGAACCACTTCAATATCTTCCATTGCTTAGGTCAAGACCTGGCAACAAGTGACTAGCAGGACCTTGAACTCAGCCTGAAGGAACCTCTGGCCTGATTATGTTGCAGAGAGAGATTTGCAGAATTCAAGACAGAACCTGCTAGAGTTGTCAATGACCTTGTATCTCTGAGCAAAAGTATGGGCCTGGAAGCTGACAATGATCATGTTGAAAAGCTGGTGAAGGAACATGGTACCAAGTTGTCTACCTATGAACTTGAACTCCTTCAAAGAATAACAGAAGGATATATGTGAGGAGCTGTCCATGGAGAAAGAGGAGAAAAGGGAGGATATGCCTAGTGCTCTTATTAATGATGTGTGAAAATGGAGTGAAGTGCAAAGTTTTGATGAAAGGTATCACCGTGATAAGGTAGTAGCAAGCCATGTCATTAATCTTTTCAATGACAATTCTATGTCTCATGTCTGTAACATTGTGAAATGTAGACAAAGGCAAATTTCATTAGATAAATTTTTAGTGAAAAAGAGACCTAATGAGTCCCAGGCAGAATCTGCTAGTGAGAAGCAGAAAATCCAAAAGGTGTAAAAAGAAAAAAACTCCTGAAGTACAGTTTCCTGATGTTATGGAGGGGAACTCCCATTCCAAAAAATAGCATCCCTTCCCTTCCACTTCCTCTCCATCCTCCACTCGTGCCATCAAGATTTCTCAGCATGGATAAGGATGAATGAAATTGTCTTTCTTATTTATAAACTTTATTTGTTATTTAGTTTGGTATGTTATAATATAATATTATATTGTATTTGTAGGCATTTTTACAGATGAAATATTGTTAAAAAGGTAAAAAAAAAATGTTTTTGTTTTGGGGTCGGAAACAGATTAATCCAATTTATATTGTTACTTATGGGAAAATTGTTTTGGTTTGAGAACAAATCGGTTTCCAAACAACTTTTAGGAATGAATTAAGTTCATAAACCAAGGTTTTACTGTATTATCTTTGCTAATTTTTTTTATTCATTACGATAGACTTATATTATGTTTCTATAAAATCTCATTTTTCATTTTATAGTTAATCTGTAAAATATACAATAGAAAGAACCTTGGACTAATTGAGGGAAACCCTAGTCCAAATTAGTGAAAGTCTGAATTGGTGAGGTTTTTAATCAAATGCATATTGTGATAATGGGCACAAATGCTCAGGAATCTAAACTAAAAACATTTAATAAAAACAAAAAGGGGGGTGTACAATAAGATGATTAAATAAGTATGGAAACCAAAAAACCCAAAATGCATTTCGGACCATTTTCCAATAGAAACAGATATTTTAATTAATTTAATTATACCTAGGGCTAAAATCAATTTCTGTAATAATTTTGTTACATCTATAGAATAATTTGCCTAGATCCCATTCGATATTTGTGCATAAGCCCTCATCTATTAAAGAATGAAATAGATAAAATTAACACTGACATCTGATTGTGTTATATGTTATCACCACTTGGTCACCAGATGTGGAAGGTAACACACCTCCTTTGTAACTGCTCCCTGCATCTTGTAGTAATGTCTTAGCCTGCAACTCTATTGTCTTACTGTTTTTGCACCCTATATGTCACACTACCATGCAACATTATGAAGAATTATTACTCCTGTTTACATTGATAATGCTTACTGCTCATACAGTCATGGTAACATTTTCATCTTTATATATTGTGTAGCTTTTGGCATAGTTTTAAGTTTAATTTTTTAACCTTGTATAATTTTTTTAAGTATACTAAAACCTTTAGTTATTACAAACTGGTGAAGGACTATTTTCTATTGGAAAACAGTCCAAAATGCATTTTGGGTTTTTCAGTTTTCATACTTATGTAATCATCTTATTGTACACCCCTTTTTGTTTTATTAAATTTTTTACTTTGATTCCTGAGCATTTGTGCCCATTATCATTGGTGTGATAAGCCCTTACTATTATCTGCCTCATGGTTATAGATATTTTAATTAATTTATGTTATGCATATATTTCTTTCTGCCTTATGGGAACCAAGAAATTTTTTTCTGCTCATAATGAGTTCAGCCAGAACCATTGGGGCAACTGAGAGTGGTGAGGAACAGGAACTATTGTATCGAGGACAGGACAGACCATCCCAAAAAATGTGTTTTTTTTTCTTCTTTTTTTTTTATCTGCCTGGTTATCTTATCTTTGATCCTGGATAAGCTGATGCTCTAACTACCTCAGTCATCAGGCCAGTGAGATATATATTATAACTGGTACTGGTAAATAAACATAAAAGAAAATAATTTAAGCATTTTCATCGTCAATTTTATTTAAAATTCATAATGTGTTTCAAAGTTTTGTTGAATATATCTTACAGTTTTAAATATTTATATCAAAAAGAGAGTTAAATTGTTTAAAAGGAACATAATAAATAAATATATAAATAACTATAAATATTAGATTTAGTTGCCAGATAATCTTTCAAAAAGTTATTAACAGATATTCAGCTTTTTTACAATGTTTATTAATTTAATGCATTAAGCCTGTCAAGCAATTTGTTAAAAGTATTATGGCAATACTGTCATTTTTACATTTCCATAGCATTAAGAATAAATAAGAAATACCAAAAACTTATCAACCTTAAATTTTAGACAATACTAAACAAATTCTACACTATGATGTATATTGTAGGAAAATTTTTATTTAAAATTTATAAAAATAAAAAGTGAAATACCATCAATTATAAAATAGTATAAACACTAATCTACTGAATAAACAATTGAAAACAACAAAAGCTATTACATTATAATTTATAATTGGTAATAAGTTTAAGTATTCTTCTATCACTTATATTGATTAGATTGGTGGCAGTTTAAAAAATTTAAACAAAAGTAACCAGAAACAAAGTAAATTGAAAGTATTTATCAAAATTTATTTTAAAAATTTTCTGTATATTTGATTTTTGTATAATTGAAATGAAAAAATACCACAATAAGAATTATAAATGAAAATATTAAAATTGATGATAAAGCATAATGATAAACTAAATTATTTTGATTCATAACTTACATTCTAACATTTTTTGTTGTTACTGTTTTATATTTTAATACATTGAAAAGAATTTAATTTTTCAATGTTTTAATTGGCATACTTATATGGTGATATTGTAACAATTAAAATTATTTATGACTAAATGTGTGATTATAATAATAGAATATTGTTAATCATTTGTTCATTTATCTTAGGAAGAAAGACTACTTCAACGTCGTCGTCAAAGAGAGAGAGAGTTCAGAGAAATGGAAAAAAGATCTGCAGAACGTTTAAGAAATAGAAGTTTAGAACGAAAGCATAGAGAAGAAACATTACGTTTAGAAAGAGAGAGAGAGAAATTAAGGTTTATATATATTAATGCATTAACTAGAAACTAGTGAAATTTGGATTTAAAATATCTTGTTAATATAGTTTCGTGTTTGGTTTTTAGGAATTGCAAAAAAAAAATTTAAGATTTTGATTATTATTTTATTAATTCTCATTATGCATTTAAAGAGCATGAGTATCTGAAATTTGAAAAGATATAATCATTACATAAGTAAGAAATTTGAGTAATTTTTTTTTCTAACATAAATACATGTTAAAATATTTAAGTATTCATTCTTTCATAGATTTTGCACAAATGTGTATAATTTGTAAAATACATTCAGTTTTAAATTGGTCTATAATATACAGTACAAATAAAGAATTTATAAAAGTAAAAAAAATACAATTAATCCAGAAATTTTTGTTTTCATTGTCAATATTTGTATTTTATAAAAATTCATTTAAAAGGTTATCATACTGTTATTTCAAAAGAAAAATACACTTGATCAAATATTTGTTAACTGTTTATTTGGAGTTTATATCATTAATATTCCAGTTTCCAAGTACTTACAGATTTTCATGACTCATTTTCAGGAACATCATTCTAATAGTAAATATTAAACACTACCTAATAGTCAAGAATTACCCTTCCAGTTTAACACAAAACAAATCTTCACACACATTCTTCTGTATTCAGTTCAAATCACCCTTTCTTAAAACTTCTCATTTTTCATACAATAGTTGCAATTGCTATAAAAAAAAAAACAGGGTGACCCCTGATACTGAAAAAAACATCTCTGTCTGAATACTCTTGATCTAAATTTTACTTGATTGCAACTGCAATATTACAAAGTGTGTGCACATTGATGCAACTTTGCCTGCTTTACTGAGCACCTATCCAAGTATATACTTATCTTAATATTGCATACTTGTTCAGTCATGAAAATGAGTTTCCTGAACTAACATTACTGTGACACTTAAAGTTAAGCATCAAAACTCATCCTTAGTTCCTCATATAAATTATATCTTTCTCAAGCATTTTTCTTTAACCTTCCTCACTGTAATTTTGGTCATTGGCCTAGTTTGGAGACATAATGCAAATTTTCCTCTTATGACCATGGAATCTTTTATTAAACTTGAATATCCGTTATGAATAGCTATGTACACCAACTCTGACAAAATCTAAAGTCTTTTCACTGTTGATGTTTGGAAGATTAATTGAACTCTTTTTGCTGAAAAAAAAAGATCCTTAAGTAAAGAAAGACCAGTGGATGAACAAACCTTAAGATATTTCAGAGTATAGAAGCTGAAAATCTAGCTTCATTAACCAAGCAAGATCTAAATTTCAGGGGTTTGCAGGAATTCTTCATATTTCTGAGAAATTCTCCATGCTGATCTGTATCATTATGTTGTAAATTGATTATTCCCATTGGGATCTGTAAAGTAGATCACAAGTGGAAGTAATCATACACAATCAAATATATTAGAATTTAAAAATTTTATTGCTGTATTATTATATTAGGGGCTGAGTCCCTAGTATAACATCAATTTGCGTATTTAAACTTTAAAACATTTTGCAACTGAAATGCTATTTTAGGCGGACAAAATTATAAATGAGATAACTTCTAATAATCTAATATCAACTAAAATTTGTTCTCAGAATATTCTAATTTTTTCTGGATCCTTCACATTCTCAATGTAAGGGCAAGTGTTAATGAACTAGTCTAAAAAATAAAAGTACAAAAATTGGTAATAACTATAACAGAAAGAAATTATTTCTTGAGACTATACATACAATACGAGTCAATTTCTTTCGGTCCCTTTGCATGCTGTTGAGGTAATAACAATTCTATGGCGGAGTTTAGAGTCAACCTTTTATTGTAGGCTACTCGTCTGCCATACGATGCAAAAAAGTTAAAATAGTCCTCTAGCGGTGGCACAAAGATAAAATTAATAAGTACGTTTTAAGTCTCCTTTTCATTGTAAAACATGAGTTAGTTTTATGGTAAACTTATTATAAAATTGAAGTTATAAAATAAAAAAAATTATTTTTGTTAATCTCTTCTAGTCTTTTCTCTCCACATAATATCTACCTTCTAAATGCATTTATTTCATCTACAATGATGTTCATTTTTTTAGTTCTTAATAGTATGTTTGATTTTTCTTTAATTTTGTGTAGTTGATCAATGAATTGTCTTAGGGGTTGCATTTCTGCTGCTTCAATTGTTTTCAAAACATCGCTAGACCCGATACATAATATAGGTAAACACCAACCATTTAGTAATTTGCCTTAAACTAGCCCAATAGAATTTCGGCATTTGGTTCAATTGTTTTCTTTGTTTTTTTCCTTGCAAGTCCATTACTAGTAGTTTGGCTGTTATCTGTATATAATTTAAGCAAACAGACACAATGCACTTGGTATTAGAGAGGTTGAGGCGCACGTTTTAAACGTGTAAACGTGTACGTGTGACATTCGGTGCCACTTTCCCGTAAGCCTAAAAGTTTGACAATGGTGTTTGGATAGTCGGTGGAATCACGCTCGACATTTCAAACACCATCGTCAAACTTTTAGGCTTACGGGAAAGCGGCGCCGAACGTCACACGTACACGTTTACACGTTTAAAACGTGCGCCTCAACCTCTCTA